GAATATTTTGACATTTGGGGAAAATATTATATTATTTTCCGTCTTTCTGAAAGTTACGTGAGAAGATCAATACCGCTTTCATGTCTGTATGCCAAACATGAAGCTTCGACCAGCAGCAGTTAGCTTAACATAAGTATAAAGCCTAGAAACAGCTCGCCAGCTAGCTCAAGTCCCACGGTAAATCAATGTGGAAACAGACACTACACCGGTCAAGATATAGTCCTGCACACAAACTCCATAAAAACTTTCATTTTTACTCTTTAGTTTTTGTAGACAATAAGATACAACAGGTGGGTGAGCTTAGCTGTGTGTTCAGCCAGAATGCAATTTTAGAAGTAGTGCAATAAAAAGCCAATTGAAAGACGCTATCGGACAGTCCCTCCAGGATTTCACTAGGTTTTTTGGGGATTGTTGTAGTCTAAAATTCCTGATTTCCCAGCAGCTTTTCTAAAACATCACAATGCATGTTGTGATGTTTCTAGGCGGGAAACTACAGTGAGTGGTTAAATAAACATCGGAAAAATTGCTGTAAGTGGGTCACGCAGAATTCATTCATTATTGGTTGAATGCAATAATTGTTATCATCGCAACTTCCTGAACACAACACAATAAACACAAACGGTAAATTCTGCATGGGAGGGGGAAATTTTGGTCATTGTTTTGTGGCTGTAGCTACAGAAATGAGTGGTATCAGTCCTCTCATGTAACTTTTTTAGTGGGCTTGAGTACAGAAGATGGACGTAGGTATCAGTCCTCTCATGATAACTGCTTAGAAATATCTCACAAAAAGCAAAATGACTTATGAAGGATAACGGGTGGAAGATTAGCCCCAAGACTAGAAATCCTGACTCTCCTGCCAAACTGGAGACTGGGTTTCCAGTTTACAAAGCTTTGCTTCTTCCTGAGACACATTATGATCCCTATCAGGCCTCCAGGCCTGTTGCTAAATAGCACTTTAACATTCAGTACATCTATTTTAATATTGCATATTAATGGAAGCTGTGCAGCCAGCCAAAACTATTTGTCTCGGGTAACAACTGACGAGGATACAGCGGAAATACAGGATTTGCTACATTCTTGTGGGAGGGGCCCCACATCCCCAGAGCACCCACAGCAGGGTTGTTGTAGCTCATACAGTTCCTCCTCTGCCCCCCTCCCGGCCTCCTTGCTGCTCAACCCTTCCCTGTTCTTAGCTCGGTCAAGCTCCAGCTCCCTCTACCCCGCCGCTCCAAATACATTATTTACACTCTCCTCCCCTCCCCTCCCTTCAGCTCAGCTCAAAAGAATCAGGGCAGAGGGAAATAACACCACAGTATAACCTCCCCCTCCCCCCCATGCACTGACACACACACACAAACACACAAGCTCAACCCTCCCTCCACCAGCACCACCCCACCTGCTCGCTCTTTTCTCACTCTGCGGGATGAAAATACAGCACAGGGCTGGGCTGCGACAATGGGAAACTCTGTGAGGCCCCAGCCCTCCCATTAATCCCCTCTGACATGCCTCCCGAGGGCAGGGATTTGCTACAAGTCAATGCAGGAGACCTACAGTATGCAAAACAAGCCTGTCTGACTCTCTCATGATTTTCAAAGCCACTGCACTGCACTGTGAGACAGGAAGGCAGATCAGAGAGAGAGAGAGAGAGAGAGAGGGGGAAAAAATAACTGTGCACACAGTCTGCTTAGTTAACCCTTTCCTCACCCTCCTGTTCAGTGTATATGTCACTTCCCTCTTCTAGTTTCACTACTAGCCTAGATTGCTCAGATAATGCTGATGACAGATGACAGGATGAGAACCGATGCTGAGCGTTATAGAATTTTTCTCCCATATATCTCTGCTGCTGTTATCTCCTTTGTCTCCCTCCATGACGCATTCCGCTCCAAGACAAATTCAGACCGAAAAATGAAAACCACCCGACGTAAACAGGAATTCACAGGTCATGTGATGCACTTTACTTCTCTCAGGCAGAGTGGTGCTATTGAATTTCCGCCTTATCAGGGATCTAGTGATGAGGAGATAGGTGGAGGCTCAGGGGGGGGCAGGGTGGTGGTGGTGGGGAGGCAGGATGACATTAGAGAGAAGCAGTCAGGGTGGTTGGGGCGCCGGGGGGGCTGTCCACACCCTGCAGCTCACACACACCGGGAATGTAAACAACAGAGCTGAATAGACAGGCTGGGGCTACACATGGAGGAAGGGCAGCAGAAGAAGTTAAATTACCACAGGGAGAGCAGCAGAGAAATGGAAAAACAGATGACAGTAAGGCATTGCCCCACAGAGGAAGAGAAATCCGCCAGGATTTGTAGCCTGCTTTAAATTCACGTGATTGGCTCCACTGCTGCCTCCCCTCCCGCTTCACTCCCCCCTCTCTTTTTTTCCACCCATCCTCAGACCCTTTGAGATGGAAAAATGGGTCATCTGTGTGGAAGTTAATACTCTGAGCACGTACACTGCTGCTTTATTTTAAGGACATGCCTTGGAAAATGTTTCTCCTTCTTCTCCCTCACTGAATGACACAGAGAAGGCGCTGGGTAATTAATATACTGTGTTGCTGCTGTGCACACAAGTGGCAGTGCAGCAGAGAGCAGCAGTCTTTATTATAGCTGCTGGCACAGCCTGGACATGTCTCATATTTCTCCCCAGCCTGTCCTCTTTCCATGACAACGTACAGTAGGCTGCAGACTCCGGCACCACAGCCATGACATCAGCATCAGGGCACAGACAGTGTGACTCTAAGCATCAGTGGGAAAACATGTTCCAAAACAGACGCAGGAGGACTCCGGGCCTCTGTGGGCACCTCCACCTAACAGTCAGTGATCAGCAAGCTACGGGCAGAAAATACCTCTCTCGGAGGCTACTGCTCAGAGGTAACGCTCGAATGTGGACCGGTGCAGCAGAGAGTGTGCTGCTTCGCAGAGCTACGTGAAGCTGCCATAGCAACCGCATACAACAGAGTTATTTCTGGCTACCTTAAACTCACAAACACAGCTGCTCCTACAGATACCCAATCTGTGTATGTATGGCCCTCAGTATGCAGAGCCGTAATCAAGCTTTGACATTCAAACTCCTAAACTGGAATAGCACAGGAAAGGTAATTACTGCTGTGGATAATTTGCTGACAGGATTTCCAGTAATGAGTTGTGGAGCTCAAGTGATTATAATATTCCCAATACAACGTTTGATATATGATTGGAATCCATGCAAACAAATCACAATGGCAGTCAGACTGCTTTGGTCCTAGCTGGTTAGAGCCTGTCTACGTCTAATCCTGGGATTTTAAATGTTGCTTCAGTAACAGTTTATATTTCTGCACCTGTAATGAAGGAACACGGTGCATCTGTCAACGTGAGCTCATTAGAAGAAAGCATTACAAACTGTTAAAAAAGAATTACCCCTCCCGAGCACATGGTCTCTGTGCTGCAGGCGCAGCCATTGTTATTGCTGTCAACTGGAACTGTTGTGCTCTCAAGCTCCCTCCATTCAGTTGTCCTTCATTGGAAACACCATAGAAGTGAGCAAACACTGCCCTGGAGCAACAGTTCCCCCTACTGCACAAGAAAAGGGAGTTTCTGTATTTTCCCTTCTCTTTCCCCCAGCCTGCTTCATCAGATATGAAGAGCTGACTCATAACCCAGTCATACAGACTCAAATAGAGCAAGAATGCAGTCAGAAGAGTGACATTAAATCAAAAGAAATGCCACAAACACCTCATTGGTTACATTAATAATCAGGTCAGGGTTGAGGATGCAGAGCAGGGTCTGTTTTTAGATAAAAACAAAAGATTTGCTGTGTCATCCTCAACCAGTGTCATGGCCTCGTGCCAAGGTCTGTTTCACTTGGTTTACTTTATGATACTTTGAGAGCAGGCGGCACTGGTCTAGTATCCTTCAGTGACCCTTCAGCTCTCTCCAGGCTGCAGGAGGACGTGGCCAGCAGCTGCGTGTTTATTTACAGGAGAAGCAGGCCAGTGGTACACTGTGTGGACGGGGTCTGAACCTGTTCCTACCCCCAGCGCCAGCGGCAGACCACAGCTCCAGCGTGACCTCCAACACAGTCTGTTATTTCTCTCCTCTGCCTCCCCAAAGGACAGATTAACAACGAGTCACTTCTTCTGCACACATACACACACACACACACACACTCAGCCCAGCCAGACGACTCTGCAGGCCTCTTGACAGGCTTCTCCTTTTCCACCAAATGGCAAAATAGCAGGAGTGCTGATGAGAAGACTGCAGCGTGAGCACATGAGTTCATGGAAAATGGAACACTGTCTACCATTTAGTCTTCACTCGACATTTCTGGGCCGCCGTTCAATTTTCATTTTTCATTTCTAATGTAGAAAAACTATTTTCCTCCTGCTCTCGTTTCCTGGCAACCTCGAGGACCGAGGCTGCTCTGGCCAGAGCCCCTTAGAAAAACAGCTGCAGACAGGGATAAAAATAATTACAGCTCTATTTGTCTTCCAAGAGACACACTTCCAACCCTTCCCCTACGAGCTGCTCCACTTTCGCTCTCCTGCACGCACACAATAAAGCCATTCACAATGAAGACGTCAATGTACTCACATAAGCTTGTACTGTATGTCTCACCATGCTGGCTGGAAATAGAAATACTGTACTGTCAAGATGGCAATTCATCTTTGTTCTAGCAGCAGTAGCTGTATTTTATTAACCAGCGTCAAGGATTCGTTAACACATCCAGAGTCAAGCTTTTGTTGTTTTTTTATTAAATAAAACATACCTAGAACGTGTGGATTCTAGTAATGTAGTCCCATTATATTTAAATACATTCCTTTCGTTCCTGAACAACTTTCTTTTTTCTGTATTATATATTTTTAAATGGAGGAATAATTATCCTTGGTTTATGCACACAACACTTTCCATTCATTAAAGCGACCCTCTAGATTGACTGCACACATCTCAAAACTGTAAATGTTGGTATTTTCTCCTGTGCATTGCTACTGCCATCTACTGGCAAATGAAAACTCAGAAACTCAAAAATGTGTTTTCATGATTTATTTTTAAGGATTTTACACACAAAAATACATCCAGATATGAGAAACTGGAATATAAAAATAACACTTAACCGAAAAAGATAATTCAGAAAAATCGACAATATTCTACAAACAAATTCTGTTTAGTGTAGGCACTCGTACACACATTTCACATGTAAATCAACTGCGCATCAATATGTAACAAATCATTTACATACCCTTTTTTTTTTCTTCCATTTAGTGCATAACATATCAGCACCAACCTCCACACACACACACAATTACTTTTATGGGAAATAAATATAGTTACAGATAGAAGACACGGGATCCGGTGGGAGAGAAAGTTGGAATGTGATTTAACATTTCCCAGAAACTTAACCTTTAAGAAGCTCTTTAACCTCGGAGTGCCACGACAGAGGGGAGAGGGGGGGAGTTATCGTCATCTCATGTCCAAAGGTTGAGCTCTGGCATAATCAGGCTCACACACACACATACCAAAACAGTGCACAAACACCAGTGTCTGATTTTCATCACACACACACTCACTCATTCGACGTCATCTTCTGTTAAAGACTGAGCGCTGATGATTCGCTGAAAAACAGAAGAAAATATCTTTTAAAAATACGTTTGGCTTCAATTATAGAACAGCCGAACTTTTATAAACCTTCACACAGGAAACAACCAGTTCTTTGTAACGTTTCTGTCTTAGAGGTGAAATAACTCAGAGTTACTGACACTAAACTCTCAGCTTTGGATTCTAAGATTGATCTCGCACCCTTTCTTGTCCCAGAGACCACAAACGGCAACTAGGGGGTTTATTAAGGATGCTGCACGACGACACCGACCACACGGACATTTTAAATGGGAGACGAAGGGGAAATTCCTCACCTGGCTGATGGTGGGCAGTTTTGTGAGCAGCATTTGAAAGACTGGAGGCGGCAGCGTCTGCTGGAGCACCTGGAGCAGCTGCTGAGGTTGACCGCATACTGCAATCGCATTGGTCAGGTGATCCACACCTTTCTCGAATTCACCTGGTAAGGGGGAGGTTAGTTATTAGATTGTTAAAGTGATTGGAAACAATTTATTTACCTATTGAAAACTTTGTACTAGTGCTGAGCGATATACATATAAACACGTATATCTGAATACTTAAAGCTCCAGTGTGTAACATTCAGAAGGATCTATTAACAGAAACGGAATATAATAATTCATCAGTATGTTTTCATTACTGTACAATCACCTGAATATAGGAATCATTGTGTTTGTTACTTTAGAATAAGATGTTTATCTATTAATGCTGTGGGTCATCTTCCATGAAGTCCACCATGTTTCTACGGTAGCCCAGAATGGACAAACCAAACACTGGCTCTAGGTAGAGGCATTCTCGTTTTGTGTGTTAAGCTGCTACCGTGGCTTCTCTTTCACACTTAGGTGAAACTGAGGGCGAGGCGACGCAGTTGCAATCTGCAGCTACACCACTAGATGCCACTAAATCCTCCACACTGGTCCTTTGAAATACTTTTATACAACTGTTTTAAAATATTGTGTTTTAAAAAGGGAAGAAAAAGTTGTTGGCACATCTTTATTTGTAAGTTGTAGTACAGTTTTGCTTTCTGATTTCTTTGAGTAAAATGTTGTGGGACCAAGAAAAGCAAAAAGTCTGTAACACACTGGCATTAAAATGTTTATATTCTTTGCACTGACAGAATGAGCCACTTTAAACCCACATAAACAATATAAACCTTTACACAGGACATTAAACAACCAGTTCTTTGTAACGTTTCTGTCTTAGAGGTGAAATAACTGAAAGCTACTGACACTAAACTCTCAGCTTTGGATTCCAAGATTGATCTCGCACCCTTTCTTGTCCCAGAGACCAAAACGAGGCAACTAGGGGCGTTTAATTAGGATTGCTGCAGACATTTTATGTAAGATGAAGAGGGAAGGAAGGCCCAGGCGTGCTCTTACTGCTGAAAGTAATATTAAAGTGTGCATACATGCATTAACATTTTATGTTGATTTAACAATGAGCAGACTGAGGCTGACTTGTGCCAGCGAGCTCATCTCCCAGTTGGAGTTTCCTCAGGGAAGAACTTCTGCACAGCTTTCGCGTCTTCAATCAGGAGCATTCAAGTCAAAGACCCCAAAAAAGAAAACGTTTCAGAAATTCACATTTAGGCCTCAACAGAAGATGAGTTAATCCACTATTTCAACATCTGCCCCTACTTGCCAGTCCAGACCTTATCGAAGAGCATTTAGCTTTCTTCTACCGTTGCCGAGAGAAAGAGAGAGTTAGAGGAAGGAGAGAGTCTGCAGAGGCAACAATGGTTCGCAGGTTGAGCTATCCGATACAGGCGTGTTTTCTTCCACGAGCTTAGACGCCAAATATGATTCAATCTTAACACCTTTCTACCACTGGAGGTAGACTGAAAAAGTCAAAAAAAAAAAGACAAAAGATGAACTGAATACCGAGATTAATATACTGGGAAGGTGGTCTCGGTTGTGTGTCACATTGTTGTTGTATATATTTCGTGCTCCCCGTGGCCAATAAGTCACCGTATGCTCGCTTTAAGTCTGAAACAAACTCAGCGTTCACAGTAGTTTCCCTTGGAACCGAGGTCACTCCGCCGCCCTCGGCGAAATAATACACAATATAGCGACGAAACGCGGCTCCACAAAGCCCGACAAACGCAGACCGCCGTCGTCTGCCGCTCATCATATCGGACACATTCATCGAGCTAGTGAGCTTAGCACGGTGCTTACGCGAAGCGCGGATGAGAGAGGAATACGTAAAGCATGACGTAAGTAGGTAACGTCGAGACGCGCACGCTTCATCATTCCGTAAATAAAATACGTTTTTTTTTTTTTTTTTTTACTAAACATTTCGTTTATTAGTTGTTCATTATGAATTCTAGCATCTCTTTATTAGTTTATTTCAATAAATGTATTTAATTAATTTTAATTTATTTAATTTATTTATTTATTTAAATCAATTAATAAATGTGTATGTCTGTTGTCGCTGTTTAATTTTTTATTATTATTTATTATTTGTTATATTAATACTCAGGCTACTTGGGGAGTAATGGATTACATGTAACTGTGTGACACAATCAGCATACAAAAAAAGGTGATTACAGTTACAGAAAAAGAAAAGATGTAAACAGAAAATGGGGATTATAAACCGGATTAAAATGTTGTAAAATAAAGGGAAACTGAACTAAAACTAATCGTACAGTTAACAATTAATTATCATGACCTCTAGTGAAAAGAAATGCTTTCACTGGGTGGATATTTTATCATAATTTTGTCTTTAAAGCAGAAAGGGGAACAACAAGATGTCAGCTGCAGCTAACGGAGTTCCTAACAAATGAAAACTTGCTAAATAAAAAGAGGAAAAACTTGTTTATCATTAAACAAATTCAGGCAGAGTAGAAGGTTGTTCCCCTTTCTGCTTTAAAGACTAAATGATGGTGAAATGTCCACCCAGTGAGAGCATTGTTCTCACTAGAGGCCTTCGTAATGAACTGTAACAACTGTACAAATAGTTTTAGTTTCACTCCAGACCAGAGCGGTGAAACAAGTGTTGTAATGTTAGTATATTGTTTTCTTTAAATTTGAATCCTGCAAATAGTCCCTTTTTTTATTAAATGTAACTTTACAGTTACCTTATTAATCCATTAGTCCTCAAGTTTGTGTATTAATATAGTAACAATTACACATTTACCAGTAAATATGACCAAATACGTCTCCACTAATGCAATAAAATAACTATATCATAAGCTAAAAGCTGAAATGTGTGCTTTAATATAAGTTTTATCCTCTGCAGCTGCTCATCAATAGACATTGA